CCCCATGTGTTAAATATTGTTTTTTCTCCCCCTCCTTTTTTTTTTTTTTTTTTTTTTTAAGTTTTTGCTATAAGGTGAATCCAGGAAACAGAGAGAGGGAAAGTGAGAAATCACCCCAGTATGGCCTGCTGCAATCCCTTCTCTTCCATTCTCCTGGGAAGTGTGAGCATGCACAGCATGATTTTCAAGCTGCCTTTTTAGACTCTAACTTCTGAGTCTCAGGTAACTTCAGAGTTGGTCCTATTGGATCTCAGCTGCCTTAACCACCACACCACCTGCTGGTCCACTATCCTCATTTTTAAGATAAGAAACTAGCCCAGCCATAAAGAAGAGTGCTCTGCTAGGCTGGGAACTATAATACTTATATGGCGACTACAGTTGTGAACCCAGATGGGCCTGGAAACACACCAGCCATGCACACCCTAATCCAGAATCCTAAGGAGCTAGCGGGCTGGGGAAAAGGGGTCTTGGTATGACAAGACCTTTTCCAGGATTATTTCCCTCTCACTATCACCAAAAAAAAAAAAAAAAGAAAAGAAATGAAATTGTGGCAACTACGTACATTCCTCCTTAAGGGCAAGCAAACAGTATATAGAGTAGAGATTCTAACTCAATATTTGGACCCAATGTCTGTGTTCTTAATTTCCAATCTAATCTGCCTAAAGAAATTTAACAAAATACAGAAATATTAAGTCTCCATAGGCTGGAATGAAATGTGTCAAAAAAAATGTGAGGCCCAGTTTATAGCGTGATTAGTGAGCACAAATGAGGGGGGAGAGATTTAGAATAACACTTAACCCCAAACTTGAAATTTCGGGTCCAAGACCCCACAAATCGACAATCCCCCAAATACCTTTCTTCTTTCTGCAAAATGAAAACTTCCCTGTCTCTTCAGTGAAAATTTGGTCATGACACCATGTGGTATGTATGTTTCAGTCAATGTTTATGGTGTACATATCAGAAACTATGCTTGTAAGATTTATTCCTAAAACCAGTCAAGTTAAGAAAATGAAGAACTTACACCACCGTTAAAACACACTAAAGCCTCTAAAAATTTTTTCAAAGTTCTCCCCATGTATCATGAGAAGGGAGTTCACATTCTGGAGACACACAGGAACTATTAAGACATTTAGTTGACTTTCCTAAGAGATATCAACCTAAAAGTATAAAACGGAAAGTTATTAAATGTTCATTCGGTTATTGTTGGCAAATAACTTGAAACACATTCGGTTAAAACACACACACACACACACACACACACACACACACACACACACAGGGTCAACTGTTAGAACCAGATGCTTATCATTACCATTCCAAAGCTTTAAAAAATCTGTTTATAAAATATCTTACGCTCGCGGAAGCCACGCGCTCGCACCTAAATACATGTTTTACCACTGTAGCCTAAAATTTTTTAGGTCGTTCTTTGCGTAAAAATTTTGAAAGGAGAAACTATTCCCTCATTTCTTCCTCCAAAGTGATTTCCCCCTTCCAAGTCTGCTTCGACTCTCTCAATTCTGCTCCCACAGGAAAGGCGACACTCAGGGGACATCCCACCTCCCCAGGCAGGACAGAAGCAAACACGAAACCCCCTTTAACAGTCAATCCAACCCCGTCAGTCGAAAACTGTTCTGCGTCCTGAAGCTTCTATATGGATCTAAGAGTGTTACAGCCCCTAAATTCTTTTAAGAGTCTCGAGCAGACTCTTGTCCTCTTCTTTCAACTTCCGTAGGAAAAAACTCTAACTTGCTTTTTAAATTACTGGAATCTCAGTTCCGCACTGAGGAGACTAAAACTCCCCCAAAGGCCCAAACTTTTCCCCATCCCAAGCAAATGGCTCTAAGAGATCTCTGAGATCTACACAGGTACTTAAACCACTCTTCTCCGCCAAGTTTCTGCCTGCTCTCGGCCCCAGCTCGAAATGCCCAGAGAGACCAGTTCGATTTTCTGTACGCCCGCGTTTTCCAGAGCTGAGGGTGACACCTCCCCCTCCCCCCACGCGCCCGCCTGACCCCGCGCCGAGTTTTAAAAGAACTTAAAACTTCCACTCTAGAGACCAGGAACTGCGAGGGACTGCACTCACATTCTCGTCTCCAGAGAGGTCCGGGTTGCTGTTCTCGTCGCTGCTCAGCTTCTGCTTCTTGGCCGCAGGCATGTCTGTTCCCGCCGGCGCTGTCGACACTTCCCTCTCAGACATATTCCTCCGCCTCCCTCCAGGTTCCTGCCGCCTCGGCGGGGGCCTCCGCCACACCGCCGTCAAGCAAGCCCGGCCCGAGCTTGCCGCAAAGTTGCCACTGCCGCCGCCACCGCTCCCCCCACTGTCGCAAATCGCGCCCAGCCGCCGCGG